CTGCTTGAGCCATTAGACCAGCCCTTTCCTTAGTTTCTTTCTCTGACCATTAAGCCACTGGGGGTTCCTGTGTCTCTTGTCTGACTGTCTCCTAGGCAGCGTCTCTTCCCTTCATTCCCCAAGGCCATCCACACATTCCATTCCATCAAGCCATTCTGAGAGTAAAGAATTAATGAAAATAATACATTGCTAAGTATTTAAGGTGACAGTTTCAAATAGAAATCAACTCATATGTATACATGGCAAGTACATGAACCTATAAGTGTGCCTTATTTAATTATGAAAGACTCAGATAATTAGTGAAAGATACAAGATAATGAAAGATTTTAATATATTTGTGAGGGTGCAAAAATGGATGAGAAGAAAAATGGATATAGAAAAAGAAGAAGGGTAAGAAACTAGAGTAAAAATAGAATTACTTCATAAAGAGAAGGTTCAGTTCTTGAAACACGGATTACTCTCACAATAGAATGAGTGTAAAGTTAACATATAGAACAGAATGAATGTAAAGAGAACATATAGAATGATTATAAAGAAATGATGAAAGGAAATATTGCACGCTATGAGAATGTTGTAAAACACCGAGAGCCAATTTGAATGTGGCAAAATATTGAGATCCATTTTAGTGAAATAGTTAAGGTGCTGGACTAGAAACCATGCATTCTAGTCACACTTCAGGAATCAAAGTGTTGTTGTGGGAAAATAGAGTAAGGGATATTATGCATGTTCACCACCTTTAAAAAAAAGAATGCAGGCAGAATAAAAAAAAATTCTAAAATAACCCAGGGCTGCCAGTGTAAATGGAGAAATATTAAATATTAGGTATAGTTTGTAGTTTAGGGGAAGTGATACAACTTAATGTGTGTATGAAGGTTGCACCTAGGCTTAATATTTGGAAGCATACCATTAATACTTCCTTATAAAAATATGACATAATGCAAAAATTATAGGGGAATTAGTTTTTTCAATGTGCCTGGAAAAATCTTTGGATGAATTCTTATTGGAATAGCACAGGAATAGATTATGATCAAAATAAAATAAAGAATATGCCAATAAGGTCATGTTGTTGACTGAGGCTCTGAATGATTTGAATAAAGTGTAAATAAAAGTCTATGAGGCAACAAGGAATATGGACCTATAAATTAATATATCAAAGACCAAGAATATGATGTACAGGGAAAATGGAGTGAAAAATACTTAGGCAACAAAACATTAAAACAAGTAGATTAATTTTTATTGTGTCTTAAATGTGGGAAATGAATAGAGAAACGTACCATGCTCAAATGCTAATCTGTTACAAGGAAATGAGAGATGCATATGCCAGAAAAACATTAAAGCTGAATGTGTTGGTTATTCATTATTTAAGAAGTGGGTGTGGTACAACAAGAATGAATGGTGTTTAACGCAAAAATTAATAACTAATAACTCAGCCATTAATAAAAGAATGATTGTGAATAACAAAATGGGAATATGAAAAAATAATAACCTGAAGGGAAAGACACACCACAGTACTGTAGTTGGATGGAGCTAATGAAAACCTCCAAACAAAGCAAATTTTACAAAGAATCTTAGATTTAAATTCTTCCTTTTCTTTAGGAAGAAATAGGTTGGACAGAAAAGGACTGATTGGCTTGAAGTTACTAATAAACTTTCACAGCTACCAGTGCATTTGAACCTGAGTTTCTCCAAGCACTAATCAAGAGTTAATGCAGACATGAGAGAAAGTTATTTATTAATAATCATATATAAGACTGAGATTCAGAGCTCATTGTAACAGCATTGCCAAAAAGTCATTAAGAGTTGTCAACCTAATCTTGCAATGCTTCTTCTCCTGTACTGCAAACTGGGGCATAAAAAAAAGACCTTTGCTAGACCAATTCTCAAATACAGTTTGTCTGCCTGGAATCCACACTGTATATCGGATATTAATACAATTGAGAGAGTTCAGAGGTATTTCACGAGAAGACTACTCCACTCCTCTATTCACAACAGAATACCCTATGCCACCAGCTTGAAATTTTGGGCTTAAAGAATCTAGAACTATGCCGCCTACGCTTTGACCTAAGCATAGTGCACAAAATTATCTGCTACAACATCCTATCTGTCAATGAGATTCAACCACAATAATACACAAGCAAACAATAGATACAAAATCAAGGTAAACTGCTCCAAACTCAATTGCAGAAAATACAACTTCAGCAACAGAATGCACTACCTGACTGTTGTTACATCCCCAAACCCCCATAATTTTAACCTAAGACTGTCTAATGTTGACCTCACCCCATTCCTAAGAGGTCTGTAAGGGGTGTGCATAAGAGCCTACTGCCCCGCCCTACTGTCTCCATTTATTCGTACCCATTTACTGTGTTCATATTTATGTTTGTACTTATACCTGTAATTTTTTTACATGTTTGACAAACTAACTAACTAAATAAATAGCTTGTTTTTTTCTTCAAACATGATGATTGATTCATGGCTATACATCAGGGGTGTCAAAGTCATGTCATCACAGCATCATCATGTGACGTATTGCGACTTTTTCCCCTTTGCTACACAGGTGGTGGGCGTGATGGTGATGACGTCGCGGCTTTAGCGACGCGGTTTAATCACCGCTCTTTTGACTAGCGCAGTTTTGTCGTGCCACGGGGCATGACATGATCTTACTGATGGGGGTTGGAATTGAACCTTGATTCACCTGATCTTAATCTGATAATTTAATCTTGGTGCAAATGGAATCCAAATTGTTCAAACCAGTTCTGCATGGTTACATTATTTCATTGCATCATCATATACCACAGAAAAGAATAAAGTATTCTTACTTAGAAAGAAGCATAACAGGCTTTTAATTACTTAAGTTGGTAACAAACTACATGATGCTATAATTCATGAAAACAACACATGATTATTATTAGAAAGACCAGAATGTGTTTCTAATTTACTAGTTATTAAAATAATATTGTTTCTTGGTAATATGTTCCAGAAAGTTGGGGCACAAGGAAAGTTTCCTTGTTGAGCTAAATGCCATGTATGGCGAGAAGTTTTGTTTTTACCAGCAGTTTGCTTTATTTGGTAGACTTCTGAACAAAATATTTTGGATTAAAGAGATAGAAGTCATTTACATATGCAGAACCCACAATCTATAAATACTTCCCATTGCTCATAAAATTATGCCATGGATCTGCACTTATTTTGCTTAAAGGCATATCCAGATTTTTTATTATGAGTGTTTGCATGCATGCATGTGTTATTATGCTAATATACATGTAATAGTTAATCAAATCTTTTTGAATGAGTAGAGTAGAAACAGCTGCATTTGACAAGTTGATGAAGATATAGGGCTTAAAACTGTCACAGGTTTGACAGACCTCATATGAGACTAGTCAGATTGTGTGATGTAGGTCATGACACTCACAGTGGTTGGGACTGAAAAATCTATGATCTGCTCAGCTTTTATTTGACACTTCAGAGTTATACTTTGAAGTGTTTATACTTTTTAAGAACATATGTGTGATTAATTTCAGCAGCCTTCTTTCGAGATAATAGCTTTAGAAAAAAAAAATTCAGATATCAAACACAATTCCTGATTGTTCTATCTTTATAGAAATATTGTTCCTTCTAACACCGGATTTCATTTGAAAGCACAGTCTCTGATTTTTTCAAATGAAACTATTTGAATCCTTAGAGTAAAAATGTATTCTCATTTGCATGTTTGTGATATCTTGGTTGATCATATAGCACCATGTTAATATATTGGATATTAATATATTCCTATATACTATCCATTCTGATGACTAAGCTGTTTTAACAACTGGAGAAGTCTATAGTCAGGAATGAAGTATAATCTCTAAGGAGAGCGGTTTTGTTCACAAGTAGAAATTTTTAAAAAATATCTGGGTATCTTTAGCCTAAAGAAGCAAAAGCTTAGGAGAAACATGGCAGTAATTTTTAAATACTTGAAGAGCTGTCCAAATAAACAGTGGTGTATTCATTCCCAGTAATACTTAAGGTAAGGCAAACTTCAATGGCTGGACTGAAAGAAAAGTGATTAAGATTGAAGTAAGAAGAAAATTTCTGACTATGAGTGCTATTAAGCAATGGAATAGCCTGCCTCTGGAAATCATAGCTGCTTGATCAGCCATTTGTCTAGGCTAATGTGAGAATTCTACACAGGCATGGAATTATATTAGAAGACTTTCAAAGTCCTTTCTAGGTCCATGGTGAATCTACAAACCTTGTCTATTATCAAAAAGTTTTGAGGACAGCCAAAAATGTACCTGCCATACCTTTTAATTTTGTGATCAAACAAAAAAAAAATATGGAATCCTCTTTCCTCATCTCATTCCAGAAAGGAACAACTAATAATGAAACAGGTTCCCCCTTCACTTTTTGGAATCAGTAAAGTTAGCCCGGCTGTCACTTCACAATATGATCAAGAACCCAAATTTAAAATGCACAAATGAAAGGGAAAAACATGCATATATAATCACTTTATCAACATAATTATTTACAATAATTACTTGACAAATGTTAAGGTTGATTAGAGTGCTGCTGGGAGTTGCTTTTAAAAGATGCTTACAGTCCAAAACATTATTATTAATAATTCTTCAGAATCTATTGGTTTTCTCTCCGTGCTAGCTCAACATCTCTGTAATGTATTTTCTTTAAGAAAGTACTTACATTAGGTCTTAGCTCAGCTGCCATTTTGTAATATTTTTCAGCTGCTTCATTGAGACTAGCTTGTCTATTAAGAGAAGAAAAAAGGGCAAGTTCAGTGAAATTCAATCTGGTAATGGAAAAAGAAAAAAATAATTTAATCATTGACATTAATAGTTAAAATACATTTTCAGCTACTGATTATGATGTGAATGATTCATTAACTTAAAATACAGTTTTTAAATAATGAAATTGATATAATTACAAAGTCCACATTAGTATATACAAAACATTTGAGTCTATATATATATATATAGCATTAAAAATTAGCTTGTAAACAATTTTAATTCATGTCTTAGCTTTTAAAATTGGAAGTTAAACCCCAGTAGGCTAATCATTAAAGTTACATGAAAATGTAGTTCCCAATTACAGATATAGCAAACTANATGTGGTTATTTTTGTTAATGTGTTTATGTGTTCTGTTGGTGTGTTTATGTGTATAAAATAAAATAATAATATAAAATAATATAAAAAATAATAAAAGTGCCTGAATGAAATGCTTAATACAGCATTGAATTGTCCTGCGGCAAGTTGTCCTATGGCAAATTAGCCATGGCAAGTTCGCCACGGTGAGTAGTCCTGGACGACCCCCCCACCCATAACAAACTGTTATGGTAATTAACTCATTGAAAATTTACTATGGCATCCTAACTATCCCAGATCATCCCAAAGTATAATTGATTCATCCTGGATCAAGTATCAAATATAATTCTGCTTTTCCAATCAGTAGTAGCTGAAATAGTCCAACATTATCCATACAAAATTATAGCAATTATCACACATGAGAGTTTTTGTTTTGTAATACATTGTCAAAATATTTTGAGACCAATGCAATTTGAACATGATGGTGTCCTTGGACACTATGAATTTTACAATTCATCTGAACTGCAACATGCTAATCCTTAAAGGTGGTTCCCAAAGTTTAAATATACTCCATATGCAGAAAGAATGTACTTACAGTTATTCCCAAAATATTATATACATAAGTAGAAAGATTAAGCACTGCAAATATAAAAAAATTATGGATGATATCTTAAGAGCCACTTGCTGAAAATTAAGTGAGAATGGAGTTTTTAATTTTTTCAATATACATTGTGCTTATAATTCTATTTCAATCCCTGTTAGCTGCCCAGAGTCATATTGGTTAGATGGGAAGCCATATGTCAATATAAATTAATAAAATTTATCCTCTATTCTAACTAACTAATACAATATATTTGCTGAATAAGTGCCAGATATTTTACAAGAATAAAAATCTTGTTAATTTTTTTAAAAAAATTGAGTTCAACCACAAAGTTTAAATTTCAGATGTTACATTGCTATGTATCCAACATTTCATGGACTTTATTTTTGATCAATATCAAATAAGTACAGTTAAAAGTCACATATGATACTTTTGGAGATAAAGACATAGACAGTTTAGGACCCACTGTGTTGTTTCTAAGGGACTACTAAGATTCACTATTATGAAATAGGAAACTGAAGTCCAATTAAGGATGTGACTCTTATTCAACTGTTCTTGCAGAGTTACTGTGTTTAAAAACAACTGTCTTTTCTAATCCTCTTTTTTGGTGAGGGCTCCTAATAGCATATGATTACACATTTTCAAGTACTCGTATAAAGTAATCCTTCATTATAAGGTGCAGCCACATGTTTCCAGGCAATACACAGAAGATAATAGAATAATTGTCTTCAATTTTGGTATCCAACAACACCTATCAAGTGGTACATTGCTGGTTCCTTATACCTATCATAAACAATGGTTATTAGCAATTAAGTTTCCTTAATAATTTAGACGCACTTGGAAGTTTTATTAGAACTGAATTGGCATGATCTCACCAATCAAACTAAACTATGAACTGGAGCACAATTAATTCCAAAGCAATTTCTGCTATTTATGATACATCTTTTGATTTTTCTCTGTATTGTATATATTTTGTAGATGGTGAGATGCAAACAATGTGTAAGGTATTTTATTTGTTCAATTTATTTGCCACCCATCTCAGGACTCTGGACAGCTTACAGTATTAGAAACATTAAAATCATAAAATATAAATTTAAAACAATAAAAATGGAAATTACAATAAAAATAAAATTATAGTT